ATATCTGGGAGAGGGCCTAGGGGTCAAGGGGTATCAAGGCCTGAGTCAAAATCAGCAGCCAGAGACCTCATGTTAGGTAGTTGACTCTTGGAAAATCAAGAGTCAGACCCAGCACGGGAAAAGCAGGCCCAAAGTCAAAATCAGCCCAGTAGTCAGCCTCACCCATAGATCGGATGCACATCCATAATTTGTCTGCAGGTGTCCAGAAGATTCCCAGTCCCGACTGGAAAAGGTACCACTGCTTCAAGGTTGCATCCAGGCCGTCAAGATTGGGCAAATCTGAAGCGTTGGCACGGTCGAAGGGGAGACTGGTCCACGCCAGTCAATGCTGGTCAACGCTACATAAGTTCAGCCAGACCACTGGGGAGGCATTCTGCCTTGCGCTGGCTTGATGCTAGTGCTGCTCCGCGAGGCTGCTGGAGTGTGATGCTGGTGCCAGATGCTGCTGGAGGGCGCCTGCCTAGAGGGGGATTATGTTGGCGCGACCATAGCCGCCATAGCTGTAGACTAGGTGTTTGAGGATTGGGGAGGAGGAGGAGGAGGATCAGGGCTGTGAGACTGATGGGAGTTGAGGGGAAAAGCTCACCTGGACATACCTGGCATCGACGCGTGTGATCTGCTGGTCTCCACAAAGGTGAGGAAGTGCTGCACCATCCTCCCTATCTTTTGCTGACGTGGAAGGAGGATGGGCACCCTGTTCTGATCTGCACAGTGACTATGTCAGAAGACGTCAGAGGAGAACATGCACTGCTGAGTGTGGTGATAGGGGAGAAGGCGGAAGTGGACCTGGGAAAGGAGAGAGACATACATGTATTGTTGATTATTATTATTGGGACTCTCCTCCTCCTCTTCTGTGTCTTCCTCTCCTCTTTCTCTTTCTCTTTCTCTCATGCTCTTCTTTCATGAGACGATGCTTCTGAATTGTGCATATAGTCGAGACATGGACTCGTAATTGACTTCGGAGACCTCATGATGTGCACTGGGGTCAGACTTGTATTGCATTGATGACAGCCATTGACAGGCTTCTTAACGAGAGTGGGTTCATTTAACTTCATTACAGTTTGTTGTTGTTGTTGTTGTTGTTGTTGTTGTTGTTGTTGTTGTTGTTTTTGACTGGGTTCATTTCAGATATAAATTCATAGTAGTAATGATTTTTTCTGTTGCATGCATGCATTACAAAGTTTGGAATGTAAAATTGTAAATGGCTTCTCTGGTTTGCTGCTTCAGGCTGCTGAGGAAGTATGTGGATCTCGAGAACAAGTACCAAACGCTCCTTGTGGAATCGCAGTCCAAGCAGAAGCTGATTGACTATTTCCAAAGCGTTCACCATTCACCTGGTATGGGGTACTCTTTCTTTTTCTTTTTCTTTTCTTTTTCTTTTTTTTTTGGCTTTGTCTTTTTTTTTTTGAGAAAACAACGGTGCAGGGGGTGTCACTTAATGAGGTGATAAAAAGCATCCTCCATGAGTGGTTCCTTGCGATGAGAGGGATGGTTAATGGAAGGCCGAAATGCGTTGAAGGCGTCATCTATTGGTGGGAAGCAGCACCTGCTGGAAACAGGGTCCAGCGTCCCATTTAGTTACTACGATGATATAATGATTTTCCGTGACCATTGACGATCTATAGATCACTTAACTTTCTGAGTTCAAACTTCAAAACAATGCATACTGCCAACTACCTATCTGCCCTTGATCAGAAGCCCTGTCCCTGTCCCCACTGTCTTTTCCTTTTCTTTACAGCGTCTGTCTCCCTCTACAACCCGTCTCTTCTCACTGGGGCAGTGTGGATCTCTGTTTTTACTAGCGGCAGTAGTGAAACTCAGGTTGCATTCACATAGCCTTCTTCGGAAGTTTTGCTAGAGGATTGCCAATGGAGGGACGAACAAGGGGGGAGGTAGGAGGAGGGGGCAACGAAGAAGGGAGGAGGAAGGTGGGAGGAGGGCAATTAAGGAGGGAGGAGGAAGGTGGGAGGAGGGCGATTAAGGAGGGAGGAAAGACGATGGAGGGAGGGGGGAGGCTGGAGGAGGGGGGAAGAGGGATTTTTTTTTGTTTGTTTGCTTTCCTGAAAGTGTCGCAGCGAAGGACGAGGGAGGACACGCGATGCGGGGTTTTTACCCCTGTCCTCTGCTCGAGTCCTTAAGATATCTGGATCCAATTCCTAGCATCCTCCTTTGCTGGTTATCAGGTCCATTTATGGCCCTGCGAACCCTCTTTAAAAACTAAAAATGAAAAAGTTAAAAAAAACAACCACAACAACAACAACAACAACAACAACAACAGAACCTTACAGTTCTGGCTCCATGTTCATACTCGGGAGCTTCAGTCCCGTTCCTATTCCACCGGCAAGTCCTGCAAACCCTCTTGCTGCACACTGGTATGTCTCTCCGTTGAAGGCTCTGCGTTCTGCCACTCCCTGGCAGCTTATGTGTAACCCTTGGATCATCACAACCTTTCCCTTAGCGAGCACCGTGTGCTGAAATTTCGTTTTCAGTGTCCCTTCTGAGTCAGGGTCACTCTGAATGAGAAGTTTGATTCTCCGCCGTTTGCATAAAGATCTCCGCATCGATCGGATTTCTGGTTTCTGCCAACACCTTCTCGCTTGGGTTCTTTGTCTCATCGAGGGTAATGCTGCATCTCTCTTTCCAGATTACCCATATCGTCACTTTTCGCATCAGTCCATAGACTCCATAGCAAACATCAGTCATAGACTCCATAGCAAACATCAGTCCATAGACTCCATAGCAAACATCAGTCCATAGACTCCATAGCAAACTCGTTCCGGCTCGCTGAAGTTAGTAGGGGTATTAGTCCACAGTATTATGTAGCTTCTGTCCAACGGATCAGCCTTTCATTCCTTATAAATAAATAAAAAATAAAAAAAGGGAAACACTTTGTTATATCGAAAATGATGTTCGAGGCAAGCCTTTCATAAGTTTCATTCCTTTCTTTTTTTTTTTTAGCAGGCCCTTATGGTCCTGGCTCCATATCCATTCTGGGGAGCGCCAGTCCGGTTCCTATTACTCCGGCAAGTCAAAAACTGAAGAGCCACGCTTCCTTCCATTCATCCGAAGGACCCTTGAACGGCATTGATTACACCATTGAGTCCATTCTCATGGAGGATTGACTGTCAGCTCGTCTTCCTTCTGTAACTCGTCTCAACTTTGGAGCATGGATGAGTAGATAAGTGCCAAGGCGCAGAGGGATGTCTATTGTATAGTACNGTATAGTACATACTATTAGTGTCTCCTTTTTTTTTTTTTTTTTTTTTTTTTTTTGAAGGTCCCTTTGCAAGGCCTCTATCCCAGTGGTGGTAAGAGAACCACCAGGATTGAGGCTTTGCCTGGTGGGCCGCTCCATCTATTGGTGGGGAGCATCACCTGCTGGAAACCGGGTCCAGCGTCCCTTGAATACATCAAAAGATTCAAAACCATATGTAAGTTAATGTAACAGCATTTTAAGAACACTAGGGACCCTGCTAGCATTGATTGCCCTGGGTTACAGGGGATTTACTGTGCAGGGCTAGGAAGATTTCCATGACCGGCCGGTCTGGAACGGCCGGTCACCCGGGCGTGTTGCCCGGGGGGGTCTGACGACCGGGATACCCGGGCATGGGGAAAAACATTTAAACAGCGATTTCGTCAAAACGGACATTTTTTATTTTTTGTACGAAATTGAAAGTCCAAACTGCAGCCAAAATTTGATGAAATTTTGGGTAGGGCATTCTGAAAACGCCCTACCCCCTCGATGTTTTTGGACTCAGCCCAAAAAAAAAAAAAAAAAAATTGACGAAGGGGTTTTTCCGCGCTCTCCGAGAGGAGCCCAAATCCGGGCTCGTTTCTTTTTTTGAGAGTTGGCTGTCAAGGGGGGGGAAGGGGAGTATAAATGAATTTCAAAGGGGCTAAAGGGGTTTAAAGGTTGGTGCCTTAATGTGATTTTTTATTTTTTTATTTTTTTTATTTTTTATCTTCAGTTCTGTGAGGAATTCTGATGTGACCCTCAGCCAAACGTTGTTTGTATTGCAATTCTACACAACATTTGTTTTTTCAGATTTTTTGTGGAGGTTTTTTTTTTTTTTTTTTTTGGCGCTGGGGCTGCCCGGCCCCATGCCCGGGGGTCATGCCCGGCCGGTCACCCGGTCGCCAAACCGGGCGTGACGTCGGGACCCGGGCGCCCGGGATATCTCCCTAGGTGCAGGGTGTATTTCCTTAAGAGAAGCTCTGGGAAGAAAGAATCAAAATGCCATCTTGGACCGGGGGGGCACCGGGTCTCATGGCTGTCTCCCCACCTCCGATCTACAAAAATTGACTGTAGTTGTAAAGGCTCTGGGCAATTTCAACGTGAAGGTGGGCGGTGCCTGGTCTGTTTGGGTTGACTGTTTCACCAAATGGCCCGATTGGGACCGGTACCGGAGGTAGTCTCTTGGGCTATTTTTTTGGGACTTAGTGTTTTTTAGTCCTACCGGGCTGGCTGGACTTGTCCCAGTCGGTTCCTCTTTCCCCCCTCTCTCTCCCCTCTTCTTTCTGTTGTCTTGAGACCTGTTGTCRGCATAGGTTATAAGTCAGTCTTCCGTCTATTCTTCTTACCAGCGCTTTATTCCCCTGATGAGGCCGGTGTYTGACGGCCCGGCCGAAACACRTGTAGGGTAGTCCGTCAGCTGAACTTCATGGCTATGGCGCAATGCGCCTATCTTTCCACTGTGTTTATTGAATATCTTTAATTGATGCGCTCGGGGGGTTCTATTCTTCTTCTTGTCTATTTGGCAAAGTGTGATTGCACTTGCATGATTGCGTCACTGCGACATGCACACAGAGAACCGTCGGGGGGATCTTTACCCTGTACGTGTGACTGTGCTCTTGCCTTTTTCCTCCTTACCACCATCGGTTCCTTCCGTGGGTGGTTGTTGTTTCTCCCTTCTCTTTTCTGTCTGTTTCTCACTCTCTGTTCCTTTACCATTGGCGCTGAGTAATTTAGGGTGTTTACCCGTTTGGAGACTAGGGGGACGGTTTAGTTCCCTTTTCGATGTATCGTCCAGGGGTGTGTCATTTTTGTCACTTGCCCGGGCACTTCATTCGAGAATGTCCATTTCGTAATTGCCCTAATGGGGCTGAGATGGTGGCCAATCTGCAAGGTGCCATGAACGGCGGTGCGCGAGGCGACGGGGGTGGTTTGTTGCCAGCACCAGCGGGATCTTCCTCACAGGCGATCGGCTCTTCCAGTGTCTCGACTGCTATTGTACCATATCAGGTGCCGCACAGTAGAGGCGCGAACGATGTTGGTGGCAACTTCGGAGATTACGGCAATCGCGGCAATAACAATGGCTATCGAGGATATCAAGGGTATGGTGGGCAACGATACTCCAAGCCGTGGAACGGTGGGTATAGGGATCGTGACCGGGACGAGCGGTTTGACAAAATCTACAGCCTACTATCAGAGCAGGCCGAGGAACGAGAGAGGAAGAAGCAGGAGGCTGGCAAGTTAGAGTTATTTGAAGCTGAGAAGAAAAGGTTGCAGGCCGAGGAGGAGAAGAACGCGCAGACCAGGAAAGAGAAGGAACTGCATGAGGCGAGGTTAGGGAAAATTGTACGAGGGAGTATGAAGTCAGTTTGTGAGTCTGTCCTCGGGAAGAAGGTGGATATTCCCGATGAGGATGAGACGGAGATCAGTAGGGTCAGACGGGAGTTAGAAGAGTTAAAAGCAAGGTGTGCGTGTGAGAAAGCCGAATCAAGTTTGGATGCGTTACGACGGGAGAAGGAGGCTCTTCAGAAGGGACAATCCATGAGTAGCGAGGAGGTGAATCTCAGAAGGGAGGTCGAGATGTTGAGGGCAAGGAACGACAAGAGCAGGCTAGCCGATGTAAACTCGGACGGTTCCAGATGTGATGAAATCGCGGCGCTCCGTCTTCAGATTCTTGAGCTGGAAGGCGTCCGGACAGCGCTCCAGGATCGTAGTAGTGAACTAAGCCACCTGAGGTCGGAGAACTCCGCGCTTAAGAAGGACTTTCTCGATCTGAAAGGCGAGATTGCCGAGCTAAAAAGCGCCAATAACAAGCGAACGTCTGATGTTGTTACTGAGAAGAGTCCGTCTGTAGGACCTGATGCTGGCAAGCAGAAAATGGTTCCGATCGGTGAAGCCGTCTATACACCTAAAGACTTGGATGCTCTTCGTAAGGCATTCAAAAAGGCGCAGGCGGGTGAGGAGATGGCTAACAAGGAGGTGCAAGCTCTTAAGGAGCGAATGGCACGGTTGGGTAACGAAGCAGCGGCAATCGGCGAGAAGACCGGCCATGAGGAAGACTACACCTCGCAACTTGAGGCCTACGCTCAGTGCTATCAACGTCGAGGACGAGGGATCTGATAAGGAGGCTGATCCAATGGGGACGACCGAAGTTGCTGACCAACCGGAAAAGCTGGAGGATATTCAGCTGAAGAAGATGCAGGAGGAAGAGAGGCGATCCTTGCGGGCGGCCAAGAAAGTCGAGATGCAGAGTATGTGTGAAGAAGAAGGGATCACCTATATCAAACTTGATCAAGCAAGGGCTGATGTGGGTGAAATTCGAGCCAGGAGAAGGTTCGCTCAATGGCTTAAAGATCAGGGCATCCGTGATGAGGATGACGACGATCGTGATCTGCACTACGCTACTTCCACGGAGGACGTCAACGACGAGTGAGAATACGCCTTGAGCGTGTCTTCTCTGTGGGAATGGGCTTATTTCTTCCGGGATTACCGTAAGTCTCTCCCTGTGGATGAGTTTAATTACCTGTTCTGTTTAATTGTTGTTTTATTGATTCTTAACAATCAGATTCGTTGGGGCTTTAAATTTCGTGATTTACTTTTGCATTTGCTATATATTGGTTATGATTTTAGAGCATGTCCTGGTCCTGCTGTATATGCGATTATTTCTCCCTGGTTCAAGCATACCTACATAGGTTGCACTTCTCGTAGTGTTAAAATTCGATGGAAAGAGCATTCGTCTACTTCGTCATCTTCTAAACTTCTTCGCCGTAATCGTAGGCTCTATCGCTGGATCATGCGTGTTGGTATTGATGGCTATATCTCAGTCCCTATCTTCTCTTGTGCATCTGTTCAGGATATGCTCCCCTCTGAGAAATTCTTCATCCGTTCTTTCAACCCTTCGCTTAATTCCTACTGCGCACGCAGATCCAGAAGGCCTGCGGCAGGTCGTCCAGGTCGCAGGGAAAGAGCGCGTCGCAAGCGGTCGTTTACCTCTCCGACCCTCCCATTGTCATCTTCTTTTGTTGTCCCCTCTCCCCCTTCTTCTTCCCCTGTTTCTCTTTTTCACTCCTTTCCTCCTCCCCCTCCCCCTCCCCCTCCCCCTCCACCGCCCCCTAACCCTCCACCACCTCCCCCTCTTCCCCTTCCCCCTCCTCCGACTTCTCTCTCTATACCTTTATCTTCGGCTTCCAGTCTCTCACCCTTCAATGTCTCCTTATCATCCGGTTCATCATCCGTTAGTCTTATCTCCCTCCTTGATTATATCTCTTCTTCAAAGTCTCCTTTTCCTGTTACGCTCTATGTGTGGTCCGGTAACTCCTTCGTGGATAACTGGAAGCTCATTTGGCGGCTATTTGGCTGTTCCACCGCCTCTACTTCAACCCTTCCTATCTCTCTGCTTAAACATTGTCGTACCTGGTTTTGTCCGGGTGCAGTGATCTACCTCCACTCCGTCATTCGTTTCTGTTCCAAGTCCCTACCGTATAAAGATAAGGTACTTCAACTCCTATCACACCCTCAGTCTCGGCGTAATCTCCCTCTCTGGAGTCTTAATTCCTTTGTCCTCGCCTATAATGTTGTTCGTACTATTTCCGTCAAGAAGTCGCATACCTCGTTACGGATTATTCTTTCACAAGCATGTCGTAGGAAGTTCAACTTACCGCTTTCTGCTAGGCTGGTCATACGTATCAAGTTTGACGAGAGGCTTGTCAAGTCGGCCATTAGGCGAATTTGTCAGCGTTCTATCTTGAGTTTGGATTTCCCAACACCATATCTTGAGCAAGTCTGTAGAAGGATGTGCATTGTGTGGACAAAAAAACAGGCGGTATCTGACCTTTTGCACAACTTTCGCCAGTATGCATCATCTTCTGCTCCGATGTGTACATGCATGAATATGCCAGATGTTTTTCCACGGGTCAGCGAGCATGTCTTATTTAGGGTAGGTGAGGTGGATTTCCTCCCATCATGCATCCGCAAGTCGAAGAATATTGTATATCCTGATTTTGCTGCTCACCAAGGGTCTTTGAAGAAGCAGATTAATGATTCGTTTCAGCAATTTTTTGGGGTCCAAGGGAATATTGTTAGTGGTAACCTTGACTGTTGTTTCACCAATGGTGGTAGGTCAGATGTAGGTATTTCAATTGGTGAGATTTCAACTTGGATAGCTAAGTTTGAAGGGCTTGTCCGATGCCCGCTGGATCACAATACTGGTGATACGTTCGTTTGTTGCCCCACTATCTATGCCGGTGGGTTGCGAAAGTTGTTTACAGAGAGTGCTGGACTGCAGGTAGTCGAGGCAGACGAGGCTGATGTCATCCAGGATTGTAGAGCAGAGTATCTTGCACAACGATTTCAGAGTCTTGCTCCCTGGGACGCATCTGGGAAGCTCGGAAGGGCCTACGTTTTACCTAAGCACACGGACATTACGAAGTGGCGGCCTATTTGCCCCTCCTGGGACGAGCCGTCTCGGAGAGCTTCTAGGGTTGTTTCTCTATGTGTTAATGAGTTTCTCAAGAGACTTCCATCTCGATGTCATTTCAATTTGCGCAGCACGCAATCTCTTTCAGAATTCTTAACTAGGGTTAATCGGAATATTGAATTGGACGACGATCTGGTTGCATGCAGTTTTGATGTTAAGGAAATGTTCTGCCAACTACCGCACTCGGCAATCATCAGTGCGGTAGAATGGGCAGTTACTTTTTTTGAGGAGCGAGGGTTTCGGAAGGGGTTGGTGTCAGTCAGGAACAATCTGTTGTTTTCTGTCAGGGCACCAGGACACAGTCAGGTTTCAAATCGATCAAGTTTTCTCATCCTCTCAGATTCGTTGCTTATGATCTTGAGCACACCTATACCATGGTGATGGGTAAAGTAGTGAAGCAGAAAAATTTCGGTATCCCAATGGGGAAATCGTCAAGCCCGGCTTTGGCTTGCTTGATGTGTGTTCATAATGAGTTCATGTTTTTAAAGGGTTTGGGTAATGATTCACGTTTGGTTTTTGGCTGTAGATTAGTCGACGATGTTTCTATTTTCATCAAGTACAAGAAGCAGCAGTTAGCCTCTGAGAAGAAAGCAATGACTATAATGGACAGCTTTGTCACTTCCTGTTATGACGAGCATCTAACACTTGAGAGAACTAGCAGTCACTGTGATAGGCATTGGCCATATTTAGGTTGTAGGATTTTGGTGGGTTGTCAACCTGTTCGTGTATATTGTCAGGCAATGCATAAGAATCAGGACAATTTGTTGGATGGAA